TTGGAGAAGACAACAGAGTTGGGGAAGATGAGAGGTTGATGCCTACCCTAATTGATTAAATTGGACTGGACCAAATTTTGGAATGGGCTCTTTAAAGTCAAATACATAGAGTTAACAAATTGTAATTGTTTTATTGGAATAAATTGTATGGTCAAATCTATTTAATTTAAGTTTTCTTTTATATATTAAATTTCTTATTTCTTAAATTTTATCTGTATGACTTTTTATTTTGCAGTTAAAATAATTTAGTGCTATCTCTTTTATTTCGTTTAAATTTATTTATACAATTATTTCTAAATAATGTATAAGACATTAAAATTATTTTTTCTTTAATTTTTTTTGAAGAAATTATTTTGGCCATAAATTTAAATTTATTTCAAATTATAATTTAATTGATTAAATTGATTTTATCGAAAGAGTTGATAAACGAACTAAACTGCGATTTCATTTTTTGACAGCCAATATCAATAAATTTGTGTACAAGTAAATAAAAATTTAAATTGATTTTATTCAAAATGATTGTCCAATACTTATATTTGAGTTCCTTTGTATACTAAAATTTTTTATTTCTTATTTCTATTCATATCAAGATTTTATATAATAATTAAAACATCACAAATTCAGTATTGTTAATTATAAAACTAGAAATATTTATATTACAATAAAATAATTGGTCTGTCATTTTAAAAAAAATTGTAAGAAGTATTCTCATAACAATATCCGAAATTCAGATTCTTTTTAATAATATTCCCATATCTTAATTTTTAAATTGAGAAGGATCCGACTCTTAGGTATGTACCCGTATCCAATACCCGCACTAGAGTCTGAGCATCATAGGTTATAATAGCAGTCGTGTTAAATAGCATTACTCTAATCAAATGCTTTCACTCATTTGTGTTTGTCTGCTTTCTTATCGCAGCATGAAGCATAAGCTTCTAATGCTTCTGATTTTTTCCATTGGCTTCATTCCTTAACTTGGATTTTCTTTCACTTACCATGGAAAGGAGCCATAATCTATGTTTTGTGTAGGCAAAAAATTTATATATGCTGTGGCAGCCATGTTTATTGAAGAACATTTCCTCATTTTTACATGATAATCCTCAGCGCAACATTTCAGCCCTTATCAAGTTGAAGAGTGATATAGATTGTGCTTATTTGCAGTTTTTTTAGCTTGACTGTCAAGTTTTCCTTTCACGAAACTGTAATTTTGTGATCTGCAAAATATTTGTGGTATTCAATGATAAATTCTTCATAAATCTAAACATTTTTTTCACAATGCTTTCCAAGTGCATTTTGGTACCGTCACTTCAACACGTACTTTGTCCAAATTGTTTGATTATGAATGTTATCTAAGATATGCATCCTGCAATTTAAAATCACAAAGATGAATACCTCCTGATGGATTAAAACTGCACTTAGTTTACAGTTTATAGTTCAAGGTTAGTTCAAGGCATTACTAATCAAACTACAGTTTTTTTATGGTTTCCCCAACTCTTATGATATTTTAACCATGGATCTATTATCAGTCCCTATATTAATTTTTTTGCTTGTTGCTCTTTAATATTTTCTTTTGTAATTGGCTTAAGTTTCACTTATGTTTCAATCTTCGGCAAACAGATCCTTGAGCTTCAGCTCGTTTATATGCATCAAGTGCTCTGGAGTACATAGAAGCCTTGGAGCGCACATAACCAAGGTGTATTGCTCATAACTTTTAATTTAAAATCCAACGTTTTTCCATTAGATGAAATGCTGAGTTTTTCGTTGTTTAATAGTACTGAAATTGTAAGTTTCTCAAGTAAGTTTTTAACAACAAAATACAACCAAACCTTATTCTAATAATTTGGGATCTACTGCATGAATTGTTTTCATCCATTCGATCCATCACTGTATTTTCTTGAAGATCCAATGCAGCTAAATCCTTAGCAACCATAAAAAGACTACATTAGTTTTACTCCTCTTTCCATTCTAATATATTATGCAGAGATTGCATCACTCTTATGATTAGTAGCCTCTTTAAGAATTTGTGTGGACGAAATGGAAATCCAAATGTTGTGTCTGGGAATTGAACCTGTTAAGGAAGTAAATCAAGTAAATTAGGCAAGAGTATAACTAGATGTTATTGTGTTTCCATATTTACCGAGTTTTCATATGTGCGTAATCTCGTTTTACTATATAATGGAAGAAGAAGAGGGGGAAGAAAATTAATCTTCCTCTCTATTGCTTATATCAATTCTCACATGAGTTTAAACATGGTATCAGAGCTTCATACCTAGGGATTAAAACTTTCTGCAGCTACTTCTTTCGAAATTTTTTTTCTTCTTTTTCTTCCTTTGAACTCTTCTTGTTCTGCCTTCACCCATGTAATAATCTCATTCTTCATGATTTGGAGTATTGGAATAGTTGATTAAAGCTACGTCGTCTGTAATCGGTGCCCAGTGTGGTCCATTGCCGGCTGTTGGTGGTGTCGCCTGTGTCTCGTATGGTTCTATTGCCAGTTGTTGGTTGTCCTATTGCCGGCAGTTGGTGATTCGCAGTGAGTCGAACGAGTAGTAGCACTTCCTAATTGATTGAATTTGACAAGAGATGCCGGCGGATGTCGCGACAGTCAGTCATAAGTTGAAGTGTGGTCTGCAATCTGGTTACTGTGGGTATTGTTGGACTAAATTTCAGTCAATGGGTTGGACCTATTTATTTGGGCTGGAGTTTGATTTTTTTTTTTTTTTGGTTTGGGCCTTGGTTGTCTAGTTGATTTTCATTAATTATTATTGGACTAGTTTGTATAATGTCATCCAAGACGGAGATGCTCAACCTGGTTGGACCCATGACACCTGAAAAGTTGAATGAAAGAAATTACACTTACTGGGCTAGATGTGTCAAGGTCTTTTTGCGGGGTAAAGGTCTATTTAATCACTTGATTTTGGAAAAGCCATATGCCAAATCTTCGAAAAGTGATTATGCAAAAGTTGATTCTACTGTCAATGATCATTGGGGTCGAGGATAATGCCATCATTGGACTTATGATCAGTAGTATTGAATCTCATATTGGGTCTTCATGTCTCTATATGTCTACGGCTAAACAAATTAGGGAGCATCTCAAACATATACATTCTGGAATCCAACTATTATCGTGTTTTTTTCTTTACGAACTGATAGTCGTGTTTTCAGTTTATTTGAGTTAGTTCATTCTGATGTGTGGGGATCAATCAATAATTTTCAATAGTTTGTCATTTATGGATGATTATTCTCGTATGACTTGGTTATTCCTAACGAAAAATCATTCTGAGTTAGTGTCTATCTTCCAAGTTTATCGCACTATGATTAAAACTCAGAAGATTCATATTTTGCGATCTGATAATGCTAAAGAATATATGTCTGCATCTTTTACATCATATCTATCTTCCAAAGACATTATTCACCAAACATCTTGCCCGTATGCTCCACAGTAAAATGGAGTTGCGGAATGAAAAAATCGACGTTTTTGGAGTGATGCTGCCCTTACTGCATGCTATCTCATTAATCGCATGCCTTCCTCTATTTTGGACGATGCATCTCCCTTCTCTCTCGTGTCTCCTTCTTCTCTACAGTATTCGTTACCCCTCAAAGTTTTTGGATGTGTTTGTTATGTTCATCACTTCGGACCTGGTCGTGACAAACTCGACTTTCGCTCTATGAAATGTATTTTTCTTGGTTACTCCCAAACACAAAAGGGGTATCGGTGCTGCAGTCTTTCTCTACAACGTTATTTTGTAAGTGCAGATGTCACTTTTGACGAGTTCACACCCTATTTCTCAAATCATGGTACTTCCGAATCCACTTAAGTCCCCGTTAATTTTCTTGTACCATATCTACCCGTCGGTGCTTCTCCAAATCTAGACTCAACTTCATCTACTGCGTAAGTGTAACGCCCTAGATTTTTATCGACTTAAATTTGAGGAGTTACCGATATCATTCCATAATCATACATCAAGCGGAAATAAAATTTAAAACTTAAAACCTTAATTTATTGAAACTCAAACACTGAATCAAATAAACATAGTATCATGAATGGAATTAAAGAGAAACATAAAATGTCTTAACAAATTTATTATGGATTCCTAAAAAAATTTCTTTTACTTGGCAACCTACGCACCACTCAGCCACCATCCATGTTGACCAATCTGACCTGAAATGTTAAAATGGAAGGAGTGAGTTATTTATACTCAGTAGGATACGTGCATCCAAAACAATAAGATAACTTTTAAAACATGAATTTGCAACATTCCATACCATCATTTCATCAAGAGCAATCGGTGATCAATCGAAAGCTCCAGCACATTTGAGAAGACCCGAAGGCGATCTCACATTTCATTCCATTTCATAGGGACCCGCAGGTCAATTAGCATTTCATGAAATAAATCACGTATAAAAATCATAATATTGCAAGGACGGAACAACTTGCACTTATGTATCCTACCTCGTTAGATCAAATAAACTTTTCAAAGGTAAAACCAAAAATCACGTTCCAAATCTTTTACTTCCTACTGCTGCTGCTGTAAACGTCTTTTGTTCTTTTATTTTATTTTATTTTTTTTGAAAGAAGGAGGACTACTTTATGCTTTAGAAAAGTATGAGACAATTCTCTGACTTTTGCAGAGTATTTATATCCAAAAAAGAGAGTCCTAATGCAACTAAGAGTGAAGCTGTGCTATGCAAGGAATAGGATAATAATGACTTCACAAAATTGGGATAAGAATTTAAGTTTGAAATATTATCAAGTACATGTTTTATGGTCAAACAATAAAACAAATCTAAGTAGTTTGACTGAAGAATTATTCACCCTATATACTATAATATCACCATGCAATTTATATACACGTGTACACAGGAAAACTGATTTGGTTAGGATGGTTTTAATTCAATAAACAATCTTGATAGGATAGGATAAAGATTTGCTATATCTTGTAACACATGCACACCAATTTGAAGGTAGTTGGTTTGTTACAATGGACTTTTCAAATGAAAAATAGATTTGGGATAAGATTAAATCTTAAAATAATATCTCTAATGGTGGAAACAGAATTTTAAATAAGATTTTTAAACGTGATAAAATATTCTATCTTTTACTAATTATCTTAAAAGGTACAATATTAAAAAATTACATATTACATACGTTTCTTTGAATTTATTTATTCCCAGTTAAATCATCACTATCGATGCATGCACATATTAGGATAAGTTGGAATCCTAATTGCATTAGATATAAGGCTTAATTTATTTTAATGCAACAACCAATTTAATGACTAATAAAACTCTTATTTAATTTCCACAAAAATTGTCTTTATTTTCTATTATCAAACCGAGAGCAAAAGTGGACAGATTTAATAGAATTTGATTACAGTAGGAAATCACATAAATTCTCGTTTAATTGTGGTTGACTCCAAATCCTAAATTTAACTAACTAATAAGGGAAATCATGTAGGAGTTTTAATTAAATATCAATTAGCCTTTTAATCCTAATCAAAAGCAAGGAAGTTACACGTGGCTACATATTATTTAAAATACTATTACTCACCAACTCAATTAATAACAAAACTTACATCTTTAAAACTATAATATTTTGGTCCTAACTTATCCAAATTAACTTTTTCTCGAGCCTAAAATGCATAATTAATTACAAGCTATCAAATGAGTACAATATTGATATACTTACACTTACTCTACCAAAATTCAATTATTTGACCCAAAATAAAATATGAATTCAAAAACCTATTTCATTTTGGTCCTTATTATTATTATTATTATTATTTTTATAACAATATAACAAATAATATAATTAAGTTTTATTCTAAAATTTTCGGGATGTTACAGTAAGATTTGTCCTCCTCTCATGAGAAACCACTACCTCCTTTACAAGTTTATACTTGACGACCTAAGCCACCAACATCTGTAGCCCCATTCATCGCCTTACCATCTACGGATCTTTCATCCCTCATTCCTTCTGTTCCTGAGTCATTGGCCATCGCTCTTCGTAAAGGTAAACGTACATTTGTAACTAAACATCCTATAAGCCACTATGTTACTTTTGATTCCTTGTCACCTTCTTTTTCTTGTTCACATCGTAGCTTTCTAGTGTTTTTGTACCTAAGACAATAACAGATGCTTTATCTGATCCTGAGTGGCGAAGGGCTATGGAATTAGAAGTGGCAGCCTTGCACGAGAATCAGACTTGGGAACTCGTTCCACTGCCTGCTGGCATACGTCCTGTTGGTAACAAATGGGTCTAATCCAAAATTCAATCCCGATGGAACTGTTGATCGATTGAAAGCCCGATTGGTTGCTAAAGGTTACACACAGAGCTATGGAATTGATTATGATGAAACATTCTCTCCAGTTGCTAAGATGTCTTCTATTTGAGTTTTGATTTCTATTGCTGCTAACCTTGGTTGGCCTCTATTTCAACTGAATATTAAAAATGCATTTCTTCATGGTGACTTGCACGAAGAGGCTTATATGGAGCAACCACCTGGGTTTGTTTCTCAGGGAGAATACCAGGACTATGTTTGTAAATTGAAAAAGGCTTTATATGGGTTAAAACAATCAGCAAGAGCGTGGTTTGGGAAGTTTTCTGAGGTTGTTTTAGAATTTAGTCTTCAGAGGTGTCAGACAGATCATTCAGTATTTCATTTACAAACTGGTGCAAGTTATGTTATCCTTGTAATTTATGTAGATGATATTGTAATCACTGGTGATGATGTAGATGGGATTGCTCGGTTGAAGCAGTTTTTACAAAAACATTTTCAGACCAAAGATTTGGGCAAGCTCCGATACTTCTTAGGTATTGAAGTCACTAGGTCACGAGCAAGTATCAATTTGTTTCAAAGAAAATACGTGCTTGATCTCTTAGATGAAACAGGTTGTCTTGGAACTCGTCTCGTTGATACTTCTATGGATCCTAATGTAAAGCTTTTGAAGGATGAAGGTGAATTGTATGAAGAACCAGGAAAGTATCGTCGTTTAGTTGGAAAATTAAATTATCTTACTATCACACGACTAGATATTTCCTATGTAGTGAGTGTCATTAGTTAGTTTTTGGATGCTTCCCGAGTTTCTCATTGGGAAGCTGTGATGCGTATTATTTGGTACTTGAAAAAGGCTCCAGGTCTTAGATTATTGTATAAGTCAAATGGACATATCAGAATAGAAGGGTTTACAAATGCAAATTGGGCAGGATTCCCGTTAGATAGGTGATCCACTACCGGTTTCTGTACTTTTCTCGGTGGTAATCTTGTCTCTTGAAAAAGTAAGAAACAAACTGTAGTAGCAAGGTCAAGCGCAGAAGCAGAATATAGGGCGATGGCTCATACTGCTAGTGAGTTGACATGGTTGCAGCACTTTCTTCAAGAAATCAATTTCCCACCTTCCACTCCTATTCCATTATTTTGTGATAATTAGGCTGTTTTACATATTGCGTCCAATCCAGTATTTCATGAAATGACTAAACATATTGAAGTTGATTGTCACTTTATCCGGAACAAAATAGTGAATGGTGATATATGTACACCATTTGTGAAGACAGGAGACCAGCTTGCTGATATGTTTACAAAGTCATTGAATGGTAATCGGTTAAAATTTCTTCGTTCCAAGCTGGGCTTATATGATGTATATGCTCCAGTTTGAGGGGGAGTGTTAAGGAAGTAAATCAAGTAAATTAGGCAAGAGTATAACTAGATGTTATTGTATTTCCATATTTATCGAGTTTCCATATGTGTGTAATCTCGTTTTACTATATAATGGAAGAAGAAGAGGGGGGAAGAAAATTAATCTTCCTCTCTATTGCTTGTACCAACTCTCACATGAACTTAAACAGAATCCCCACTCACCAGTTTTCACAAAAATTGAAAATTTGAACAAACGATGAGGCAGGAATTATCTTCTAATAAATGTTTGTTTTGACGCCTCTCCAAAAAGCTTTTAGATGTTAAATATGAAGACATGAATGCATCATCTCTGTGAATCCAAGTTGACTGGTCTGTGCTTGACTTATGTTACCCGTTTCCTTTGTGGAGAGGCATCAGAATTTGAACCCTTAATGAAGAGCTATCAAGAAAGGGCCAATTTGGTTCATCCACTGACTGAATATGTTAAGGAAATAAGAAAAACAACTGAAAGTGTATTACAGTGGATATTATCATAAAACATACTCCAGTGCTATCAAATTCATCTTTGAAGATGAACTAACCATATATAGTAATTAACAAATTGAAGAGAATGGTTAGCAGGGAAGGATAGTTAACAAAGAAGAAAAATGTGCACAAACTGTATTTAGGCTACATGACCATGTGATTATGATACTACAATTTGGCAATTTACTTATATATTATAATTCCATTTGTCCTTTCTGATAGCGTGATTGTGCAAGTTGCAAGTCAAAATGTCTAAAACTCTAAATTGCAAACAGCTCTCATGCTTTATTTATAGGTTAGGAATCTAGGCATCTACAGATGTCGATAGAAAATGAGAATCCATATTGATAGGACCAATTTTTTACTGCTTGTCAAGTCACTATATTCACATAAATAATTTCAGTTCTTGGGAATTGTGGGAAAATGAACTCCAAATCATTACAGGGTTGTTTGTGTCCAAACATGGAATTTTCTTTGTAAGAGAAACATGACACTAGAACAATGATTTATCGCTTATTTTCACCAAGTCCATCCAGATTCAAATATATGCACTTAGATACTTAAATTGTCCTTGTATATTTTGTGTCTGAGATATTTTAATCCTACATAACTATTTCAGTAAGTGGCTTTTCCTTATAATTTGGAGCTTTTAGTCCCCTCGGCATATCAACTTCCATCCAATCTACTTCAAATCATGATGAAATTGTTATGCCTAATTATATACAATATTTTCACCGGTGCGATATATCTGTATTGTTTTAACATATTTTCTTGTGTCTATTTTGAAGGTTTTATCGGTGAAGCTGGATGAATGGACCCATGAGCAAGTTGATGAGTTAATCAAAATGGGAGGAAATATTGCAGTCAACTTGAAATATGAAGCTTGTATTCCAGATAATTATAAGAAACCAAAACCAAATTCCTCTATAGAGGAGCGAGAAGATTTCATAAGGTATTAGAAGTATATAGTCTCTTTTTTCAATTGACAAATTCCATTCTGATTTAGAGGAACCCCGTTTTGGATGCTCAGGAGAAAATATGAGTTGAAACAGTTTCTGAACAATGATATGCAGATGTCATGCCCCTTTCCTGTCCCATCGACCTCAAATTGTAGTGCTTTAATCTGTTATTCTAAATCACCCAGTGAGAAGAAACACTGTGAGAAACAAACCACCAGTAATCGCATCCAGGGTATAGGCCATGCATTTCGCAAAAGCTGGAGAAAATCTGAAAGCAAGGGAACAAAGAAAAGCACCTCAATGGTATGGATCTTTCTGTAAAAATGAGATTTCATATCCTGATATTGAAATGAGAGAAGGAAAACGCAACTATTATTTTTTATGCATGCTCGAAAATTTAAGTGGCAAAAGGCCTGCTTGCTATGAGTTCTCCATCAACAAAAATAGCCAGGATCAACTTATTATAGTGTTTACAATTTTTTGGTGGGAGGGGTGTAAATATACACGTTCTTTAAAGCAAATCAAGTCTTTTTTATATGATTACATATTGTCCTAAAATGAATTTTGCAATGATTTTTATAAGTATTGTTCATCACTACATAAACTTTCAGTTTAGCAGGGATGCATTAATCTTACTTTTTTCCATATGTGGTCTAGGCAGGTATGGTCGAATTTGTAGGATTGATCAAGGTTAACGTAGTGCGAGGGACCAACCTAGCTATCCGAGATATATTGACAAGTGACCCGTACGTCGTCCTCTCACTGGGAAATCAAGTAAATCTCTTGTATTATACTATCATTAACTAATTTTCTTCACGTCCATGTGCAAGTGTAAAGGAGATGAACTTATCTACTACTTTCAGCTACAAGATTTTTGTATTTCTGTTGCAGTCAATGAAGACACGCGTCATAAATAGTAACCTGAATCCAGTTTGGAATGAAAAGCTAATGTTGTCAATTCCTGAAAACGTTCCACCGCTGAAGTTGGTAAGTTTCCTTGTTACCATGATATGCTAGGCATCTGAGAAAACCAAAGATAAGGCTATGAACCATTAAATATAACCAGATTGCACAGGCTTTTAGAACATTCACTGACATGGATCTGACAGAAAATAGGAGGTTGAAAATGTATGAATTGTATTGATTGACTATCGTTATTACATTTATATAGCTGAATGCCATCAGTAAAATAAGGAAACTTAACAAAAAATTGAAGATACAAATCGAAGACCTTTCTCCAATAGGGTTTCAACCCCGGTATAGGTGGCATGGCGCTTGATGACAAGTTAAATGAAAGGTGAAATTAAATGAGGCACTTACTTCACTTATCATTTAATGCTACATAAGTGCCATCTAGACTGGGTTGCAATCTTAGTGGGACTAAATAGCATTACTCAAAACCAATCTCTACAAATAAAAGATTTCAATAACTATCCAAAAGGTAAGCAATTATAAAAATTACAACATATTCTTAATTATTCACAGCTGTACACGATTTTCCTAAATTTTCCCATAGGATTACTTTTTGTCAATTAATGAGTGGATTTCCATTATTATTCATGATCTGAATGTGCTTTTGCTTCTTTTGACTCATAAGGACTTTGCTAATTAATTACCGAAAATGGCCTGCATTTTTTTAAAAATTCAGGGGCCGTTCTCTTTGCCCGTTTTTTGTTTTCGATTTTCCAAAACGATGAAAGCGCATTCTCTTTACCGTTTTGGAAAACAAATTTTCGAAAACAGAAAAAAATGTGAAGACGGAAAACGGCAAAATTGCCGTTTTTGCTGTTTTCAGGAGAAAACACGTCAAAAATCCAAAACACGGGAAATGCAGTTTTGAAGCCAAACCTTGCCAAAACATTTCCCCAACTTTCTCCTGCCAACCTCTGGCGAAACCTCCAAAACCGCCACTTTCCATCCCTCTAAACTTCAGCCAACCTCCTCCAAAACCACCGGATTTACATACCATTGCGAAGCCCTCAATCCTTTCTTGAATTACCACACAAACAACAACCCAAACATATACTAAAATCGATCAAAAGTCATCCTCAAAAACTGCTTCTGCCGGAATCTCCATCTCCGGCGACACCCAAGGTCGCACACCACCACTGGTCGATTGCCCACCATAAACAGACCTAAACCATGGCCCTAATTTACCACAAACAACAATTCAACAATCTGAATTTCTAAAGTGCAGAATCCAAATGTTGGCCATCGCGAAGGCCTACAGTGCAATTCGTAGCTTGTGCGAAAATGGGTTCAAGTGATGCTAGGATCTAGTGGTCTGGGTGGTGGGTGGTGGTCGGATTGTGAGGTAGAAGACGGCGGCTCATGGAGGGGGCCAAAATGGCAGTGTTTGGAGAAGAGAAAATGCGCCCGTTTGCCTGGAGAAGAGAAAATGCGAATTTCCAAAGTGAATGTGTTTTTCATTTTCATGTGTTGAGAAATAGTTTTCTAAAATGAAAAAAGAACGTTTTTTCAACAATTTCAAAATGGACACTCAAAACACAAAACCCTAAAGGAATTCAAAACTCAAAACTACACAACTGAAACACGAAAAGAGCAGCTCCTCATTTTTTCAAAACTCATTTTCAATCTTTTGTGTCATTTAAACCCCAACTACCCTCCTCCCTGTTTTCAGCAGTAAATTATTTTTCATGCCTTCATCGTAAATGTGGAGAGTGACCATCCAGCAATCTTCCTGATGGTGAGAAAAGCATTTAGTACAGTTTTAAAGCTTGTTTGTCACTGAGTTTTTTACAACCATTTTCAACCACACCTTCCATCGAATCCGCAACTTTACCCCACTTTTTAATCACGCATTCTTCAAAAAAATCATTTTTCACTAAGAAAAATTTGTGCCAAGCAAGCTCTTAACTTCTTTGTGGGTTCAAGGTTATGAACTTGATGGTGGCCTGTGTAATGATATCTTTAACACATTTTGATGAGATTATGGAAAAAATAGAGAACAATTCAATGGATGACATTACTCACTGGGAAATTAACGGCCTCAGTTTTTCACCAATCTCAAAATGATTTTTGGCATATGTTTCACTTGCATGTAATGTGGATGGGAAGAATCCGGAAAACTTGCACCAGGAGATTGTCATTTGTTGGAAATTTTTCTTCACATTGATATACCATTCCGTCCAAGGATTTTATAATGGAAATTCAGTTTCTCAGATAGTTCTGCATTTATGATGGTCTGATTATTAGCTATTCTGAGGGGAAATGTTTGGGGATAAATTTGATGTGATTTGACTTTTGAGGTGTGGAGAGAACTTTTCATTATTTATACTTTCCATATTATACAAACTGCGATTTGGACTGTTATTTAAAAGAAGGTTTTGAGATGAGTAGAGATTTGATGGAAGAGAAACCCAAGAGAGAGGAGGGGTTCATGTGGTTAAATAAGCACGTCTTTAGTTCAGAGATTGTGCAAGTGGAATTGTCTAGGTAACTTCATTTATTTACGGTGGTATCGGTAATCTTTGAGTGTACAAGTCATCAGAATTCGAAGCATTTGGGAGAGATTTGAAACTGAGCCCTCCAGTCATTGCTACTTCCTTTTTTGTTTTCAAACATCATTTCAGTCAATGCACACATCTTTTTTCTTGCAGCGACGTTTATTCTCTTTAACAAATACTATTATGAATCAATAAATATCGTGGCAGCCGGTAGAGCAGTTATGGTTTCCTCATTTATGGTTGTCTAGATGAATATATATGAATGAAGCTATCAATAAAGATGTTTTTTTAAGTTACTTTTTACCAGAACCAGTAGTTAAATGATAGCGCTGTATGCACTCGCATCTTTCAAGGACAATTAGATACATAATTTGTTTTTTCCCCATGTAATTCAATCCTGTCTTTAAGTTAGATCTGTGGCATTGAACTTATTTTTCTAAAAACTTCTATTATGATTTATCAGCTTGTATATGACAAGGATACATTCACAACTGACGATTTTATGGGGGATGCTGAGATTGATATTCAGCCCCTGGTGACTGCTGCAAACGCCTTTGAGTGCTCCTCAATCAATGAGTCAACACAGCTCGGAAAGTGGAAGGCAAGCAAAGAAAATGCACTCGTTCGTGATGGTGTCATCACCTGCGAAGATGGTAGGGTGAAGCAGGATATTTGTATCCAGTTGCAGAATGTTGAATGTGGAATTGTAGAAATCGAGCTTGAATGTATGCCTCTCTCACAATAGAATTTTAAAAGGAATCTGTAGGAAACACAATTAATAAGCATTCCAGCTCCAGAATATTAATATAGGGAGAAAATCATTGAGTTTGTAATTAACTCGAAAAGTATTGGCTTGTTTGGTAGAGTTGATTGCATAGTACTACGAACAATGTCAAGAAGAAAAAGCGTCTGCTTTATACCGATGCTGCATACCAAACATCAACTATGTATATTAGTGATTTTAGCTTTTCTTCAGTATGAGTAGAAGGGATAGTTTCTTACGTGAAAAAAGTTTTGCAAGAAGAGATTGGCGTTAAAGATTATCTGTAAAAAGTGTATTGTCCATTGTGTACAAGTGTATTGTGCTTTGTCTTAATAGAATGAAACTATTTCAATGTCCTTTGGAGGTTATTCAAAATAGAACAAATTCAAAACTGTTCAGCGAGCAAGATAACAATTTCATGGCATCATAAGGTGGCATTGTAAAACACAATGTCACATGTCCTTCATTTTAATTGAGATTCCTGAACCTCATTTGCACTTCCCTAGAGGACAAACAATGGGAGTGGTTGCTTACAAGTTCTCATATTGTGCCCTGTCCCGCCACACCTTCCACGTATTGTTGCTTGCAAATACTCTACCCTAGTCCGTCTCATCGTCTTCATAAGCTTGCCTTGTTGCCTCTTACTCTTACATTTAGGAGGAAATATTCCATCACCTATTCGACAATTGTCAACCTTCCGTTAGGCACGATCACCAAGTACATAGACTTCGATGTTTGCCCCGACCTCGAGTACCCTGGCTGGTTGCCAATTACATTGACTTCTCAAATTCATTAAGTACACAAAATGTGACAAATGATATGCATTGAATAAACTTTGTTAACGCTAGCTTCACGATAACTAAAAATATAAAAACAATGGAACCATAAAAATATATACAAGGCGTTCAAGAGAAATGTGTTAAACTAATAAACTGCAGAAATCAAAAATTATTATTAAGACATCAATTGTGGAGGGTGTATACAATCCATGATCACTAAACGAACATCTCTCAGTTTGGGTGAACTCATTTGCAGAACACATTGCTTTTTAAATTTTGGTAGAAAAAAAACGGTGATTCATCTACAAACAATCTAAAATCTAGAAGGCTCAGATGATAAAAATTAAATAAACACATCCATAATTAATATTAATTAATTTGATTAGAGATGGCAAAATAACCCACCCCGTCCAGTGAAGAAATTAAAAAAACCATAAATAGTTTGAGCATTATTTGCTTTGAATTTTAAAATTCTGAATTTGTATTTTATAATAATAGCATAACTCGAAATTTTAAAAATGTAAATAAAAAGGGGGGTGGGGGGACAAGCCACCCCTCACCGCCCCGCCTAGGAGAAGGCATGGCGGGGCCAGCCCCGAACCCGCCACTTCAACCTCTAAATTTGACGATATTTTGTGGAGTAAACAGTATTTTAAATATTTTAATAACTTTATAGTATTGCTTGAATTATTATATATTTCATATGCAGATATGGGTTTTTCCCAACTTTTTTTAATGATGAAGACCCATTTAAAACAATTACAAATATTTAATCATAAGCACAAAGTTTGATGAAAATTAAGCCCTTTTTGTTTAGCTAAAAATATGAATTAAAGTTCAATTTAAAATTAACAATTAATTTTAATCACACATTTCATAAGATCCCCAACTTTTCAATTACAATTTCATCAAAATTTTAATAAATTTTGATTTTTATCTAAGTCAAACAAGGACTAAATAGGATTATAGAATAACGACACAAAGGTTGATATCTCAATAGCCCCCTACTAGGCTTTTCGATTCTCCACTTTAGTGAGACTTCTATTTTGTCCAAAAACATATTGAAAAATCAATTTAATTCTTTGTTGGTGATTTTAAAATTAACACAGTAATCATGCAGCTAGCCCTTTTTGATGTACAGAGAAAATAATTTCAAGCGAAAGGGAGTACATAATTACAAAAGAATGCTTTTGCCAACTGTAAATTATATTTCCATTATTAAACTAAAAGAAAGGTGGAAACTTTTTGTCCATTATGTTATGATGTATTAGGTAGGAAGGCTCATAGAAAACAATGATTTTGCCATAACCGAATCTTAAAGTAATCTTAGAACATTTTTCCTTGTCTTGACAGGTGGAAAACAAACTCAAATTAATAAAAATTTCATATATCAGGTCCTTGTTTGAGCCCCGTTTTGAAAAAAAGAATGCATTTTGAATAGTAGATTGACGGAGAATTTGTGATTAAAAATTAAGGAAAAATTTTGGATTTGTATTTGATGTTATTTTATTGAATAATATGTTGTTGAAATTAAATTTTAAAAATTTTTTTTTAGAAGAATTGGGCTCAAACAAGGGATAAGGACTTAACTTTCTCTCAATCAGAATTGACCACACTGAGAACAACAAGGCACCTAAATATGTAAACGCACCAATCCACCTTTGTTATTTTATATATAACAAAATTTCCAACTAGACAATAATGGGGAGGCGGGTGGACCTCCCTGACCCAATCTATTGTCATTCCTAGATGCTCATTGCTAAATGAGTAATGTTATTTAACAACACTATTACAAGTCCAACAACTCTTTACGTCCTAACAATATTCCAATTCTCAAAGGTACCAATAAGCTAGTCCAAGTCAAATTAAGCTGGTTGATTCAAATCCAAATATAAAATTTTAGTCAAAATAAGCTGACACCATCGATACCCAAATTTTTTATTATTATTATTATTTTTTTTTTTAAATAAGTTGATTTGAGGATTGAAAGTGCCTCCACCTGAGTGGCTACAACATTGAGCGTAACAACTAACAAGCCAGAAGGCAGAGTTTGTGGAAAGCACAGATTTCCTTCAACACCACTAGTTCTTCGACAGGATTCATAAAGATAATAAGAACCTTCAATATGTAGTTATTCTTCTATATACATAAACTGCAATTTGTCTTCAAAGTTCTGAGAGAGAATCTGTAGGCTAAAAAATGATAAATATGTTGTCAAACTTCCAGGACCCTGAAGGAAGAACACACCCTTTCATGTTGATGTTACATTCGAGACGAGATGAAAACACGTCATATTGTAATGCTATTTAACACCACTAACGTTTGTCTAAGTGACAGCACTGGTGACATTATATTACAAGTTCAATTAAATACACAGAATTATGACTCATTTAATATGACCTACGATATACTAATACCCAAACTGGTATTCAACACCACTGGTAACAAACAAAGGGAGCAAAAATCTTTGCAATCCAAATTGAATTGAAGTTTTAGAAACATATTTCCATACAGATGAGCACAACTTATAGCACGGTTCACTTTGCAAATTGCGAATTTTACTCTCAATGTTGATTAAAGAAAATCAAGATGCCAAATTTTGACTGACAAATCCATTCCTATGATCTAGTTCAGGAAACTAACTTGTATTGATATGTTGAAAGTCTTTCATAGAGTTCCAGAAAATCGCCAAATGGAAAACTTCTTTTCTTTCTAAACTCACGATACAAGCAAAAAATTATCATTCTCAATTTCTAAAATCATTATAGTATATAATGGCCAAAATAATAAATCATCCCTGCATCAATTTGATACTATGAAAATGGATCAATTGTGCAGAAATTTTCTAGTCTACAAGTAACTAAAAATTCAGAAATCATTTTAAAAGGTTCAATTCAAGGATTAGATATAGAATGGTTGAGACTCTACTTCGAGGGTGATGGTTTCAGTCAATTAGTTAGATATATCAGCCAATGCATATCTTCAAAATTTTTAAAAACCCACTAGCTCCAAGTTTACTTCTCCCATAGCAGACATTTCTCTTTAAATTGAGTCACTGAAGCAATATTGCAAAGAAAGAAAGAACGTGAAAAGAAAATTTGAAGTAATAAAGCCAGTGATGAAAATTTTTGAAACAGAGATAAAGATCATGCAAATCCAACCATGTAAAAATTCGATAAAACGGCAATAAGAATTTCAATCGCTGATTATTAAAACAAACGAGTTTTTCATCAAACTCCACCCTAGCTGCCTAATAAATGCAACTGTATCACGTAGAGTCTGCGCATCATGACACGCAGGGTACATATATTAAGCATCACAATCAAGATGGGCATTTGAGGTGCATAATCAACAACAAGTTCATATTAGTGTACGCCATCTGGCATATACTATAATCTATACTCTCAAATTGAATTGAATCATTTCAGTCCAACAATGCTAGTGTGTTCCTCAGGGGCCAGAGAGATTGAAAAGCAGTTAAAAAGCAATGTGACGAACATGGATGATAAAACCAAAGTGATTGTTCAAACCACCAATATTATCAATTTCATTAAGATTTCATCACAGGAATCTTTTGCAGCATATAGCCACGAGTGCCTCAGCATAATGGGCACTTTAATACTGAAAGTCACCGTTCACCACCAAGGTGAACATCAGATATAGTCACCCAATATTGTGACTTGATACTACACAAGCTATTTACAGAGCCTATTATCTCAGCATTTTGAGTCAATAAACCACATATCATAATCAATAACATTCCAATAACCCAGAAACTATACTCAGTAGCACGCAATCACAGCATCTTCCTAATTATTAAAATCAACTCACAATAATCGCTCACGGGCAGCATAGAGGACAGCGAACCAGCCCATTCTCATTGCACTCAGGGCACCTCTTCAGCTGCTCCTCATCCTCATCAAATACTTTACGGCTTCCATTGCAGCTCGTGCACGGGAAAAACCTCACATCGTCGCATGCCTCACAAGGCTCCAGCGGACGCATCGGTAACCCCTTGAGCAGCCTCACCAGCTCGCCTGCCTCGAGCAGCTGTTTAACAACTTCAGCTCCACCAATGTACTTCCCCTTAATAAAGACTTGGGGCAAGTTCACATTGGTTTCCCCCAATACTTTATGTAACTCCTTTTTGTATGCAGCATCCATTGATATGTCTCTCTCATCAAGATTTACACGAAACCCTCTAAATATCAGTCGAATACTATGGCAATCCTGGAATGTTCTTCTTATACCACGGAGGCTGGTAAAGTAAATGACAACTCTGTCCTCCGTGCCTGGGAGCCGGAATGGAGAATCTGGTACCGGAGAAGGGATATAATCGTCAAACGATTTGGACTCCGGCAGCAACAACAATTTTGTGGATTTCGTGGGTCCAGGCGAGGGGGGTTGCAGGGATTGTGAATTTGGGGGTTCCTTGGGGGATTCGAAAATTGAGCATAATTTTTTTACCTTTCCCTTGAACGAAATTCCGGCGGAAACCATTGATCCAAAGGAAGAATTATAGAGGTTCTTGATGGAGCCCTTACGCTGTAAAGCCGGAGAGGTGTACAAGTCGTACAGGGGCTTTTTTGTAACTTCACTTGACATGTTCACCGTAAAAGATCGATTCATCATCGCATTCGAATTCGAATTCATCATCTTGTCTTGGTTTGCCTCCGAGTAATCCATTTCATATTTATCCATAAAATCAAAAAACAACAAAGAACGAGATGGATGGTAATTAAGCCGTTTCCTTTTCTAATAATTCTGGGAATAAGATCGAGGAGATCTTCAACGAGAACGACGACGGATGAGGGCGGGTAGGCGGCGGAGGAGGGTGGTTGAAAGGATGAAATTGCAGACGTAAATTGAAAGAAAAGAGGGAGGGGGTGTAGCTTTTTGAAAAGGCAGGAGGGTTGGGGTCCGTGGGGCCTTTGTTATGTTTCTGTAAGCTGCGTTTGCACGCGGAATGAACGGAGGATTTACTCAAATCGCACGTCTGGTTTTTATTTTTCTATTTTTTCAACGCATTATTTATGAAAATGAGTTTGTTTTGATTGTTTTATTTTTATTTGTTTAATTTTTTTCCGTGAGACTGAGAGGAGGAAGTTGACTCTTTCCTTTTTTGAATTAGAGGAAATGGCATAACAGGTCCCTACTCTTTACATAAGATAGCATTTGAGTCCCTAACTAATTTTTGTCCATTAACTGCGTTAGCATTCACGAAACATTGGCAAATAGCCCGATAACCAAAAGGCCTTTTATCCAAAAAAGGTCTAATAAAATATATGAGAAATTTAGAGAGAGAGAGAGAGAGGGACGAGGGAGGGGGCGGGGGGATCAATTATCGAGGAAATACCTCAATTTAGTCTAAATAAAAGGAAGGTTTGTGAGAATAGACCAAAAAATAATAACATTTGAAAAATAACCTTTGAACAATTGTCTTTCCAAAAATACCCTTACTAGGAAATTGCAACCAAAGCCACTATAATGTATAAAAACTTTCAATTAGGTCCTCAAGAAAATATAGATCAAAAATCTTTAATAAATTTAAACCCAAATATTATACAAAACTTTATTGATCTAAAAAATGCAACAGAAAATGAATTAAACTATTTAGAAAAAGATCTAAAAGGATTCTTTACGGAGTATTTAGATCCAAAATTAAAAAATAAAAATGTTTTCATAGATAATAATACAATCAAAACAGAAAATTATATATATAAACTAATTCTGAATCTGAGAAGAAGAATTAAAGAACTAAATATAATTATTGAAGAAAAAGTATTAATAAAAAATAGTGAATTTTATAAATTTTATTGTGATATTTTAAATACTTATGAAAATTTTATTGGCTTAAAAATATTAACCCCTCCGCTGCACACTTCGATGAAATGGTATTAGAGCCATGTTACGAACCAAAAATTATGATGAATATAGTAGATGAAGAAAATATAATAGAAGAATTTTTGAGAAAAGTTGAAAAACATAAAAAACCTATTTATCCCTATTTAGATTTATAGAACATACATTAAGAGGAATTGTTTCTGAATGGTGGAGAAAATTACTAGAAACTAGTAAAGGAAGGGTAAAATATGGAGCAAGTAGGACTGAAAGATTAGATAATAGAAATTCTTTAAATAAACAAAATATTCAGGAGATATTAAAAAGATTTGAAAAAATCTTAAGAACAGAATTCCTAGGAGATAGGTATACTTCTAATAATGAAGAAAGAAAACAAGATGAATATAATTAGGGAATGATAGCAATGGAAAATTTAAAAATATGTGATATGTGTGAACTAGAAAGATACACATGTAAATTTGAAAAAATATACTATATATTAAACCAAGGAGATTATCAGGAAAATAAACCTATATTAAGATCTTATTTTATTAAGTTACCATTCCCATGGGGAATTAAGTTATTAAAAGAATATGAAAAATTACTACCTCTAGGAGAAGAGGAAGGAGTAGAAATAGATAGTCTTGAAAGTAGAATTGAATTTACAAAAAGAATGATAGGCATATGGTGTAGAGAAGTTTTAGAAAATAGAAAGGCATATAAAATAAGAAAGAATTCATTATGTTGTTATAAAGATAATGGCCAAATTGAACAATTTGGATGTCATAAGAAGAAATATAAACCATATAAGAAATATAAAAGAAAATTCAAAAACTTCAAGAAAAGGAATTTTAAACCACATAAAAAGTATTTCAAGAAAAGAAATTGGAATAAACCAAGAAACATTAAAAAAATGTAGATGTTTTATTTGTAATGAAAAAGGACACATTGCCCCTCAATGTCCTAAAAAGAAAGATAGACAAAATATAAAAACTCTTAGAATTTATGAAAAATTTCAAGAACATAGTGATATAGAACCAATTGAATATTTTGAAAATCTAAGTAGTGAATGCAGTAGCATTTATAAATTAAATACATCCTCATCAGAAGAAGATTATGAGGAGATAGTATATATGAATCAAGAGATACAACAATCAGAAATAGAAATAGAGACAACTGAAGAAGTTGAAGATTTTATAGAAGGTATAAATCAAGAGATCACCTTTGATATTAAAAAATACTCATGAATCACTAAGAAAATACTAGACCTACAAGAAAAAGATGTATTCCATCAAGAATTCTTAAGAATTTTACCAAGAGTAAATAAAACAATTGTAAGTATGAATTATAAAGAAATGTCTATCAATATAGAAGATACTATAGGAAAAGCAAGAATTCCTATAATTACAAAAGAATGGGTAAAACAAAAATTATCTAAAATTTCAGAAAATGTAAGAAATAAATTGAAATGTATTGAATTAGGAGGAGTCCAGATAATGGTAAAAGGATTCTTTAGAGAAGGTATGAATATACCAATAAAAATCTACTGTATGGACAATAGAATCTTACAAGATCCTATAGATGGTCTATTAGGAACAATTGTAAGAAACTTAGTCTATCAAAAGATAATATTTACAGTAAAACCAAATTATGCAATATCTTTAAATGATGAATATATTGACCAAAGTTTCAATCTATACTATAGAGTTGGAAACTTGAAAATATTACGAAGAAGTAAGGCTATTAGTATAAGCATAAAATCAATTTTTGCTTTTAGTACTAGCCATCATAACAATCTAAGGAAGATAACTGAAAACATTATCATACATAAAGATTTTGAGGAATTAGCACAATATATTCCTCCTAGAAAATACCAAGAACATGAAGTCACTATACCAGAACAAATAATGCTTGATTTCCACAAACAAGCTAGAGAAATTAATTCTGAAGGAAAATTAATAAGAAGAAATAGTGTTAGCTTAGAAGGAGATAATCTTATTGCAAGATTTCCCTCTAGACAAGACTCTAGGATAAGCAGACTTAAGAATCTAAGTATTGCTGAACTATCAAGTTCGCAATATTACATTAAGACAAGATATGTAAATCAAGAAGGATACAAGAAGAATCTTCTTGTCCTCATAGATACTGGAGCAGATAAAAGTCATGTAAATGCTAAATTTGTTAGTCATTTAATAGACTTTGAAATATCAGAACCATATATATTTAAAGATTATTTGGGAAATAATCTTGAAATAAGAAAATATGTTAAATTCCCTCTTATACTTATAGGAGAGGATCAGAAAGAATATACTAAATAAATAATTCTATATAAATATGAATTATATGGAGTAGATCATTCACCTATTCTACTAGGAATGAACTTTCTTGAGAAATATAGTCCTTATAAAATCTACCAAGGATATTTAAAGATAACAGTTGATGATAACTCAATTATCATCTCAAGAATAGATGAAAATATGAAATCATTGTTATCATGGAAAGAGTAATAAGTACTAACCCCATGAGTCCATATATTGAAATTACACTTAATATAAAAAGCTATTGTAGAATTAAATTTCATGCTTACTTAGATACAGGAAGTACAATAAGCTTATGCTTACCAAATGTATTACCATCTGAATACTGGAAATACAATTCAAAAAGGATTGTCACTGCTACAACAGCAGGTGGAAATAAGGTAATATATAGCAAATATGCTACGCAAGTACCTTTTCTAATTTCTTTTAGAGAAGTATTTGTTGATACAATATACATGTCAACCACAATTGGATGTGATATTTTATTAGGACAAAATTTCCTATTAAAATATTCACCATTTACACAATATATTGATAAGTATATGTTCACAACACCTTGTGCACATAAAATATTTACACCAAAAATAAATAAAGCTGTTACAATAGCATATACAGATATAAACCATCAGAGTTCCTCAACCCAGCGTGGTGGATGTTGGAGTACAGAAAAATTTAAACCAGTTACAGTCTTAAAAATAACAACAGAAAATAGATTAGAAAAATTGAAAAAAGAAATTTCTAAAACATATTCTGAAAATCCGTTAGAAAAATGGAATACTGATAAAGTAAAGGCAAAGATAAAATTAACCAATCCAGATACTATTGTTAGAGTCAAACCCATGAAATACAGTGTAGATGACCAAAAAGAATTTAAAGATCAAATAAAAGAACTGCTAGAAGCCAAGTTAATTAGGCCTAGTAAAAACCCACATAGCAGTCCAGCCTTTATGGTTAGAAAACATAGTGAAATAAAAAGAGGAAAAGCAGAATGGTGATAAATTATAAGAAATTAAATGAAGTTACTAAATTTGATGGATATTACTTGCCAAATAAGGACACCCTTATTAAAAAAGTACAGAACAAAAAGATATTTTCAAAATTTGATTGTAAGTCAGAGTTTTGGCAAATCATGCTTACAGAAGAAAGTAAACCACTAACTGCATTTAGTACCCCCAATCCTTTAGGACAATACGAATGGAATGTAATGTCATTTGAATTGAAAAATGCACCATAGATATTCCAAAGGAGAATGGATGAGGTAATCAAACCAATTACTCATTTCTGTATTGCATATGTAGATGATTTACTTATTTATTCAAATAATATTGATGAACATATTGAATATCTTGAGAAATTTTGTTATATTATGAAAAAATATGGTATTACACTTTCTCAAAAGAAAGCTGAGATAGCTAGAACAGAGATAGAATTTTTAGGATTATTTATAAAAGAAGGAGAATTACAATTGCAACCTCATATTGGAGAAAAGCTTCAAAAATTTCCTGAAAAAATCAAAGATAAAAAATAATTACAAAGTTTCCTTGGTATATTAAATTATACTGAAGGATTCATTGAAAATTGTGCCAAATTAAAAAATTATTTTCTTCCAAAGTTGAGAAAAAATATTATGTGGTCTTGGGAAGAACAAGATTACGAAAATATAAGGAAAGTTAAAGAAGAATTAAAGGTATTGCCCAAACTTGTAATACCACAAGAAGAAGATTTCTTTATCCTTGAAACTGATGCTTCAGATAATTTCTGGGGAGCAGTGTTAAAGGTTAAAAAGAATCATAAAGAATATAAATGTGAAAAG